AGAGAGATAGAAACATCAATGATGAGAGGGAATCATTGATTGTCTGCCTTCTGCACACTGGACTGAGCCCACAACCCAGGCATGTGTCCTTGACTGGAATTGAACCTGGGACCTTTCAGTCTGCAGGCCAACACTCTATCCACTGAGCCAAACCAGCGAGGGCTTAACGTCCTTTTTAATTAAAAGAAATGTATGAGCTGCCCAGCTGGTATGGCTCAGTGGTTGAGCATTGACCCATGAATCAGGAGATCCCTGGTTCAATTCCTGGTCAGGGCACATGCCTGGGTTGTGGGCTTGATCCCCAGTGCAAGGCATGCAGGAGGCAGCCAATTGATGTGTCTTTCTCATATGAATGTTTCTCTCTCTTTGTCCCTCCCCCTCCCTTCCACTCTCACTAAGAATCAATGGAAAAATATCTTCAAGTGAGGATTAACAATAACAACAACAACAAAAAACCAAACCACACACACACGTACACCCAAGACCAGACATAACAACAGTCACATGAAATAATGTTCATTTACCTCAGTCATGCGGAGGTCTTTATTTTCTCTTAATCTATACCCATTTCTAGTAATCATCTCTGAACCCACAGCATATAATGAATAGCAAATTAAGAGAGTAAAGAGAAGCTTTCAAAAGCAACACTGATAACAATCAACATTAACATAGCAAGGGAAGACTAAGAAAACAAGGAAGGCAGACAATTGAAAATTGTAGCATTTTGGCCATGTGGAGGAGGAGCAAACAGTATTAAGTACATTAAGAAGCCTCTTAGAATTTACTCCAGCCCTAGTGGGTTTGGCTTAGTGGATAGAGTGTTGGCCTGCAGACTGAAGGATCCCAGGTTTGATTCCAGTCAAGGGCCGATGCCTGGGTTGTGGGCTCCATCCCCAGTGAGGGGTGCGCAGGAAACAGCTGATGAATGATTCTCTCCCATCATTGATGTTTCTATCTCTCTCTCCCTCTCCCTTCCTCTCTGAAATCAATAAGAATATATGTTTTTTAAAAAGAGTCAGTTGTTTGAAATAACTAGTTGTAGGGCCTGGGAGGCAGTGATTTTCCAAGCTTGGAGAGTCTGAATTTATTAAAGGTGTCAATCTGTGGGACTGCGTGATTTTCTCCAGAAGACTCCAGGGTGTTGGGACAGCGTCATTTGGACTTTGAAATACTAGTAACTCTCCTTTGAAATAACTCTCAGATTCATCCATTTCATCCCAATGGCAACAGTTTCGTCTGACCGTCTCTCTCCCCTCATCCTTGAACTTTCCTATCTTCTTGCTAGAAGGTCTCCTTGTCTTCTTGCTACAATAAAGCATTTTGACAAGTAACAAACACCCTTATTCAAGAACTTAAAATGACATCTTATTCCTATCAAATTATTTTAACCTACTCACCTCGGCATACCAAGCCTTCCATTTGTCTCCCTCTTCCCTTTTCCTCTACTTCTAAGTAGTATCTTACATATCGGTCAGACAGGACCTTTTGCTACCCATGCTTCAGGCTCCATGCTCACCAAATAAAAGCTTTTGCTTAAGTTATGTTCCTCTTTGGGACATTTTTTATTTTCTTTCGCACCAAGCCAACTCACACCAAGGTTTTCCCAAGATGTATCCACCATCTTTCTCTGTAGTCATCACACAAAAAAATTTATTATCTTTTCTTTCATTTAGGAATTATGTTCAATGTAACTTTTGGTGTTTTTTTAAGACTTGGTATTGCTTTTTAATCATTTAGTACATGTAAGTCTTTTTAAAAAATATATTGTTATTGATTTCAGAGAGGAAAGAAGAGGGAGAGAGAGATAGAAATATCAGTAATGAGAGAGAATCATTGATTGGCTCCCTCCTGCTCACCCCACACCAGGGATTGAGCCCATAACCTGTAACCCGGGGTGCCCTGACTGGGAATCGAACCGTGACCTTCTGGTTCATAGGTTGACGCTCAACCACTGAGCCATGCCAGCCAGACTAACTGTAAGTTTTGTTTGTGTGTTGTTGTTGTTAATCCTCACTGGAGAGAGAATGGAAGGGAGAAAGGGGGAGAGAGAGACAGAGAGAGAAAGAGAGAGGAACATCCATGTGAGAGACAGACATTGATTGGTTGCTTGCTGCATGTGCCCTGACCAGGGCTGGGGATCGAACCTGCAACCCAGGTACATCCCCTTGACAGGGAATCAAACCTGAGAATGACACTTTAACCACTGAGCACCGCTGACCAGGGTGGTAAGTCTTGTTTTAATGCAAATAGATCAGCGGTTCTCAACCTGTGGGTCGCAACCCCTTTGGCGGTCGAATGACCCTTTCACAGGGGTCGCCTAAGACCATCCTGCATATCAGATATTTACATTACGATTCATAACAGTAGCAATATTACAGTTATGAAGTAGCAACGAAAATAATTTTATGGTTGGGTCATAACATGAGGAACTGTATTTAAAGGGCCAGAAGGTTGAGAACCACTGAAATAGATGGTCATTTTCTTAAAGACCAGGACCACATCCCAGGATGAATTGTACCTAAAATAAGTACTTCATACTTATTGGATTGAATTGAAATTTTAGTTGGGCTGTAAAACTTTAAATGAGTTACACCTTGATCCTCATTCATTAATCTATTCAATGAGCACATATTTGAGTACTTAAGCCCTGTGTTGGGATCTGAGGAGATTTCAACCTCTCTATATTTTTTCCCCAAAATATATTTTATTGATTTTTTACAGAGAGGAAGGGAGATGGATAGGATATAGAGAGTTAGAAACATTGATCAGCTGCCACCTGCACACCCCCTACTGGGGATGTGCCCACAACCAAGGTACATGCCCTTGACCAGAATCAAACCTGGGACCCTTCAACCCGCAGGCCAATGCTCTATCCACTGAGCCAAACTGGTTAGGGATCAACCTCTATATTTTGAGGTGTTTTTCTCCAAAAACCTCTTTCCAGACTTTAAAACAGCCCCCCTGGCCACTGAATTGCCTTAGACCCAAGACCCTTGGCAGTTAACCTTGTATATGTATTGTTCCATTATTTCTGATTCTGTTTATCTCACTGGTTTACCTGGCCTTCCATCCGTGTCTCTGTTTCTGTGTTGTGTGTATGTATGTGTGTGAGTGTAGGTATGGTTATATCTCTTGCTTCTTTGTGGTGGGCTTCAGCCCAGTTAGTGATGCTTTGCATCCTGATCTTAGTCCAGTAAAGACTGGCTAGATGTAGCAAACTCGTCTCTCCTTTCCTTCAGTCCAGGGAAGAGGATGGGGGGGGCATGGAGGAAAGAGGTGCTCATTCAGATAAAACTACCCAAGAACGCCAATGTCTCCCAGGCCACCCACTATCCTGGGAATTTTGAGAATGTTTGTCTTGTGTCCCAGCCCCCACGCAGGGGAGAATCTTAGTAGGCAATACCAAGGTGGGAGCCAATCAGTGCTGTCTGAAGTAGCCTATTCTTCCTTCCCACTGACAGTCCCGGAATCAAAGGGTCGTTTGTTTGTTTATTCACTTATTTAATTTTAAACAGGGAGAGAAACATCAATTTGTTGCTCCACTTATTTATGCATTCATTGGTTGATTATTTTATTTTATTTTTAATATATTTTTTATTGATTAAGATATTACATATGTGTCCTTGTCCCCACGTTACCCTCTACCCCCCACCCCCCCCACCCCCGCTCATGCCCTCACCCCCCCGTTGTCCATGTCCATTGATTAGGCCTATATGCTTGCATATAAGTCCTTTGGTTGATTATTTTTTTAATAATATTTTTAAATTGATTTTAAAGAGGAAGGGGGAGAGAGAGAGAGAGATTGAGAGAGAAACATCAATGATGAGAGAATCATGGATCAGCTGCCTCCTGCACACCCCCTACTGGGGAGGAGGGAATTGAGCCCGCAACCATGTCATGTGCTCTTGGCCTGAACCTAGGACCCTTGAGTCCCTTTAGTCCATAGGCCGCCGCTCTATCCACAGAGCCAAACTGACTAGGGCCGTTGGTTGATTCTTGTATGTGCCCCATGGGAAATCAAACCCACAGCCTTGGCATACCAGAAGGATGCTCTGGTTAGAGCATCCCAGCCAGGGCTAGAATCAAAGGGTCTTTATGGAAGGTGGGGATGAGGAAGGAGCAGTTTTCAGTTTTGCTGTTTGGAGGGATGTTCAGGGTTCTCTGAGGAAAGATGGGACATAACTAACCCTGTATTTGGGGACAGTAAGGCTATGTGGAATTGGGACAGCTGGTCACTTTTCCTCTGATTCTCTGACTCGGTTTGTCTTGATCTCCACATCTCTCTTCTTTTGGCTTTAGCCTGACTCACCTGTGTTCTTCCATCAACTAGTAGCCTGACTACCAGCCACTCTGGCATCCTGGCTCCTTAGGTCCTGGCTTAGTTGCCCAAGCTAGTCCTGCTGTGGCAGTAGAGGTGGGAGGGGAGGAGATGATGGGGACTAGGAAGACCTTCTTCCTGTCTCAGGCCTAAAGCCCTTGAGTGCATGCAGTCTTCCCTTATTGGGGTCAGGAGGAACCAGAGGAGGCACATGGGGGGAAAAAAGAGGGTTGAGGTAAAAAAACAAAACAAAACAAAAAACTAGAGAAGACGAACAGAAAGTTGGCGGCGGGAGACTCCCCAGGGAGCAGGGTAGCCAAAGCCATTGTAGAGGAAAGGAGGGGAGGGAGGGTCCCGCCGGCTCTGACAGCCTAGCCCGGCTGAGGTCCCTGGGTTTCTGGTCTCCTCCCAGCGGCTCTTTCTTTCCAGGGCCTCTCTGCGTTAAGACGTGTGACCCCTCCTCTGTCTGGCTCTCGGCAGTAGCCCGGGGTCTCTTCAGCTCCAGCTTGGCTTTGGTCTCCAGCTCAGCTCCCGGCCTGGCCTCTCACTGGGCGGTGCTCCGGGAGCCCCGCCCCCGAGGAGGCCTATTGGTGGGAATGTGTCGAGGAGGCGGGGTCTAGACAGCCTGCGTGAGCCCGATTCGTTGCGGCGAACTCGAGGCGGACCGGAGGCGGGTCCGACCGGGAGGCGGGAGGGGCTGCTGGGGCCCGGCCCAGACCTCCCGGCGGTCGCATTGTTTTCCTCCGCGGACCCGCGGCGGGATTGGGGGCTGCGACTGGGCTTGCGGGACTGGACAGCGCCCGGGAATCCAGATCCAAGCTCCGTCCAACCCCTACGCTCATCACACCTCGCCAGAACCCCAACGACGGATCGCGAAGTCGGCGCGGTGCGGGGCCGCTGCCCGCCCGCTGCCCTCTCGACCCCGCTAGCTCGGATCTCGGAGCAAGTACCCAGGAACTGGGACAGGGCTGCAGGGAGGTAGGGAGGACTGGGCGCGGCTGGCTGGAGGCAAGATTCCTAAGTGCGCGAGGCACCCGGGAGATGCCAGTGCGCGGTGTGCCTGGCTGGCTGAGAGGGTCGGTGGAGTTGGGGTGCGCGGAGGGGGCTGTAGAGCGCGTCACTGTACGGTCGGCGCAGGGTCTGGGCGCCTCTGCCGACCGAGTCCTGTCTTCTGAATTGGGGAGCGCGAAGATGGGTGATTTGAGGCGCGCACTGTGCGGAGGGTGGAAAACCTGGTCCTTGCCTCCCCATCAGAGAAACTAAGGCTCCGTGACCCGCGTAAAACCAGGTCCTCTTGATGCCCCTGCGAGGATGGGAAGGGGGGACGCGTCGTTTCGGACTTGGTGTCACGGCTGCACCTCTGTCCTTGGGCTTGCACCGCCCAAGGGGTTGGCCCCGGCACAGTGTCGGGGAATGGGGTCCTCCAGAAACATCAGTCCCAGAGCCATCTCCTTCCCGCACCCCACTCTGTCCGGGGCTTTGTTAGACATAGGTCTCCCGAGGAGGAGAGACGAGCTGGTGACTGCCTCCGAGCCTGCCGACCCGGGTCGGCGCTGGCCCCGGACCCGCCCTCGTCGGTTCCCAGCCTCTGACCCTGTTTCCCTGGCCTCGGAGACCCGCCTCTGCTCCCCCACCCCCGCTTCCATCCCTGCTTGGTCTGCGCTTGCAGGCCCCTCCAGCCCCTCCTCCCGCTAACGTGGCTCTGGGACCCGGTCCCGGCCCAGACTCTGCTACCCGCCCCTCTCGGAGCCTCGGATCCAGTGAGGGGGAGACACGTCGAGCCCCTGGCCCCGGGCCCACCGATGCGAGGCGATGGACACCTGGGTTGTCCTCGTTGGGGGCTGGGCGGGAGGGAGGGTAGGTGTGAGCTGGGGGCTGAGAGCTGAGGGTGGGGAGGTGTCTTGGAGGTGCGAACGCGTCTGTTCCGCGAGGCTCCTCGGCGCGCCCCCCCGCTCCCTCAGAGGAAGGTGGACTGGGGCGGGCGGCCAGCCGGAGGGCTTCCTGCTATTGTCCCCAGCCCGGTCTCCCCTTCTCCATCTCGTCCCCAGCCCCCGCTAGACTCTGGCTTTGACCTCGGCCACTCCCCAGAGGTGGCTTCGGGGCCAGGAGAGGAGAGAAAGGCTGTTTCCTCTTTCCAGCAAGGGAAGAGGAGGGGGAGAAAAGACGGCCAGGCCTCCCCCAATCGCCTCAGATGGGGGTATGGAGCAGCTGGGATTGGTCCCAGCAGGATAAGCCTGTCCCCAGGCTGCTCAGATGCTGCTCCCCCAAAACAGCTAAGGAAAGCTCTCTTAAAGCTATATCATAGTTAAGTCTAGGGGCCCATGCAAAGGCCAACCAAGTGTTTTCAGAGGCTGGACCGAGGTGGGGGGTGGGGTGGAAGGAGATTGGGTGAGAGGGAGGCATGGCCTGCTCGCTCAGGGAAGAAGGAAGGGGATGGGGATGCCTGATATCAACATTTTGCCTAGAAATGAAGAGCATGTAAATGAGATGCAAATTAGCCTCTATTGTCCCCAGCTAGGGCGCTTTTGCTAAGAAGGCTGCTGGATTCTGAGGGTTTTAGCGTGGAAGTGGTCATCATGCCCCACAAACTCTCCCAGTTACCTCTTTCCCAAGACTGGTCCTGCAGTTTCAGCAGTTTCTGACTAGGAGCCAGCCCCCAGCCCCTGCCCTCACATCTCTGGGCATGAAGCTGCCAGCACCTTCGTAACCAAGCTCAATGTCAACACACACACACACACACACACACACACACACACACCCCAGCATCTCTATCCTAGTCTCACTAGACTTCTGAATATTCACATTTACTTTTAAGGGATGTGGTAAGGAGGTGTAGTAACACAGTCTCTTCCCTCCTCTGTCCCTCCTTCCATCAGGTCAAAGGTCTTCTATCCTCAAACCCCAACAGCAGTCATCACCCAGGTAAGGAAAGGTGATGAGGGCGGGGGATGGAAGCTAGCATGGCCTGGGCGCAGGCAGAGAGAGGGTCTGGATGTTCTCCCCACTTGCCACAGATGAAAGTTGTTTCCTGGGTGAAGATACTTGTTGCCCAGGGCAACTTGGGGCGGGGGCAGGAGGGTAAGGATAGGAGACAATCTGTGTCCCTCCCTACCTCTTCCCCTGGGAGTCCCAGCATCCAGAAACATGGTGGAAGTGTGGGGGAGGGAGACCTGGCTTTTTAGCGCCAGAGGGTCGTTAGCTAGCTGACTGCTCTGCCTCCGGGGAGGGGTGTCATCTAGGCGTTACTACCCCTTCCCCTCCTCGAGCTCTCTCGAGACCCCATCTGACGTCAATCTCCCCATCAGTGACGCTGGAGTGGGGGTGGGTACACTTGGGTCCTGGCTCCAAGAGTGGAATTGCTGAGGAGATGGAATGGGCTGGGTCTGGAAGCTCGGGGGGCATGGCAGGATGGGCAACTAAGGACTGTAAAAGGTAGCTGTCTGTTCACAAAAGAAAGGATTCTCACCCTTTCTGACCTGATTTCTGGAACCTGCTCAGACCCTTACTTCAATTTCAGGGGAGGCAGGGAGTTGGTGTACACCTCCCACTGTGGGTCAGAGAGGGGAAGCTGATGGGTGGGAAGGGAGGTTGTCTCACCATCCCTCCCACCCTGCCCTTCTTTTCCTGGACTATGATTGCCTGCCTGTCATTGAATAATTTATATTTCCATTTTGAGGTAGCCCGAAGGGGGAAGGAAGAGAAAGAGGGACATGTGCAGCCATTTCTCCTCACCAGTGTAGCCCCTTCTATCCCTGGCTCCTCACAGGGGGTGTGTCTGCACTTCCCCCTCCCCCCATTAAGTAGAAGCACTGGTTCTTAGGAGCCGGGAGGGAGCAGGGGGATAGAGAGGCTGGGAAGGGGCACAGTGGTCGGGCAGACAGCTGCAGCCAGAGCTAAATTTAGCCTCTGATCTGGCTTTGATGCAGATTCATTTTTGGCTAAGACAGCAGCAACTCCCCTCACTCCCCCCCCCCCCCCCCAGCTTCTCCCTAGCAATGGGGAGGGCCCCTGAAACATGAGTTTAGACCGGGACAATGACCCTTAGGCTACCTTCCCCAACTGTGCTCTTCCTCAACCCTAAAGAGGACAGTGGCTATCTCACAGCTGCCTCTGCCCGGGCTCAGTGCCTGTGGTGCTTCCAGGGTGCCCTGGGGGTCTGACATGTAGGGGGAGTCAGACATGGTGCCCTCTTCCTCCTCCCAGTGCCAAGGAGTCACTATTTATAATTTTAAGGCTTTAGTGTCTAATTATAGCTGGGAAGGGGTTAGCAAGAGGGGGGCCAGGAGGTGTCATCTACTGAATGTCCCAGGCCCAGTCTGGAGTGAGGATAGGCTGAGTGAGAAGGCTGGGAGGGGAGCGGGTGTCCTGTCCTTACCTGGGGTCATGCAGGCAGGCCTCGCACCAGCCAGCCTGGGCCAGTTGGAGAGGGTAGGGCCTTGAGTGACAGTGACAGTTGGTTGGAGGAAGGCAGTGCCAGAGAGAGGGTTCTTTCCCCCATTCCCTAGGGTCTTCTGGGGATAGACCAGGGGGAGGAGCCTGCCTGCTTCCAGGGTGGAGAGAATTGGGCCCTGCCCCCACTGTTCTCTGTGTCCTCTTTCAGGGCCAGCATATGGGTGAGGGGGCACCCCCTGGGGCCTGAGCTGCCCCGCACAGGATGCCCCGTGCCCCCTACTTCATGCCCTTGCTGCTCCTGCTGCTGCTGCTCTCACTTCCCCACACCCAGGCCACCTTTCCCCGGGATCCCCTCCCTCTGCTGATCTCTGACCTGCAAGGTGAGTGCCCAGTACCACACTCTTGGGATGTGAGCTTAGGAATTAGACACTGAGGCCCTGCCGGCATAGCTCAGTGGTTGAGTGTTGACCTATGAACCCGGAGATCACGATTTGATTCCCATTCAAGCCATATGCCCGGGTTGCAGACTAGATCCCCAGTGTGGGGCGTGCAGAAGGCAGCCGATCAATGATTCTCTCTCATCATTGATGTTTCTATTTCTCTCTCCCTTCCTCTCTGAACTCAATAAAAAATAAATAAAAAATTAAAATAAATTAAACACTGAGACCTATGTGTGGGAGGCAAGGTGCAGGAAGGCTCCCAGCCTCAGTGAAGCTCAGAGCCTGACCAGCAAAGGGGAGCAAACAGATAAAGAGAGCTGGCACCTCACTTCAGTCACTTCTCATTCCTGGGCCAACTTTCTTCACTTTGAGGCAGCATCGTATGGTGGTTAAGAACATGACTCTCAGGCAGGCCAAACCTGAACAGGTGGGAATCCCTGCTAAGTTGCTCACTAGCTATGTGACCTTGCTCTAGTACTTTACCCTTTCTTTGCCTCAGTCTCCTCATCTGCAAAGTGCAGATAATAGTATTCCACCTCATAGAGTTATTTAGGGATTAAATTAGGTAGTTCGTGTAAAGTGCAAGGGCTATCTGGCACAAAGTGAATGCTTTCTACGTGTTTACCATTATCATTAGCTACAAAAGGCAGGCTTGGGACTAGTTCAGTGGTTCCCAGTACCTTTCACGTCCCTCTCCACCACTTGTACCAATACTATTACTAAGCCCATGTCCTACTGTGAGGGAATCCATAAACCCACTTTTTCTGAGAATTTTATCTATTTCAGGTTCCTGTTTAGAGTAATTTTAAGGATGAAGGAACTGCACTCGGGTTATTGGGAATAACTACTAGGGGATAGATAAGATAGCAACCACTTATCTGTGCCAGACACAGTTCTAAGCACTATGCAAATGTTAAACCATCTACCCCTGAACTCTAGACTCCCTTTGAGTACTGATGACTGTGATTTCCATGATCAGGTCAGGTGAGTGCTGTAGTTGGTCAGAGGAGGCAGAAACCTTGGAGTGCTGAGGTGGCCTGTGAGGGGCCTTGAGGGAAGGGTGCAAAGAGAGGTCTGGGAGAAATGGGTGAGTAAACGCTCGAGAATGGACAGAGTACATTGTGGACACAAAAGAGAATCACTAGCCCTAAGGCAGCACCAAGAAGGGACTGGGCTCAGCTCTGGAGCCTGACAGCTGAATCCAGGTACCTGCTGCTTCCAAGGTAAATGAGCTATGCAAATTCCATAATGTCTTTAAGCCTCAAGCTACTCATCTGTAAAATGGGACCACCATTAGTACCTACCTCATAGGGTTGTTGTATTGCGACAATGCACCTAAGATGCTAACACAGAGTTTGGCAGAGGTTAAGTGCTCAGAGTTAGCTGGTATTATTTTTCTTAATAGGTTACTTAATTAATGCCTCACAACTCATCTCACATATCCACTGTGTCCGTGGCTGGGTTTCATCTGGTTGGAGAGGGTGTTGAGGGAGTGTGTCAGCTCTTGGCTGGCTCTCAGCACCCACCTCTCTGTGCCTTCCAGGTACTTCCCCATTATCCTGGTTCCGGGGCCTGGAGGATGATGCTGTGGTTGCAGAACTTGGGCTGGACTTCCAGAAATTTCTGACCTTGAACCGGACCTTGCTAGTGGCTGCCCGGTAAACTAGCAGCGGCACAGTTGCGGGGCTGACACACATGCTCCTGGGACATGGACATGCTGGGACCCAGAGCACACATGCCAAGGCATGGAGGAAGGGGGAGGGTAGAGAGCAGGAGGTTGGCACTGCTTGTCCCTGAGCAGCTGAACGTGGACAAGGGTAGGACTAAGGAGCTCAGGTGGGTGCCTTGGCTTGTCTCTGATCCTCTTTACCTGTCTCCTCAGGGATCATGTTTTCTCCTTCGATCTACAAGCTCAAGAAGAAGGGGAGGGACTGGTGCCCAACAAGGTGAGGGGCTGGTTGGGAGGAGGTGCACACAGAGATGAGGCTGGGGAGGGTCTAAGGGGAGTCAAGGGGGTGGGAAAAAGAATCCAAAAGAAGCACTATGTAGGCGGGGTCCGGGCTGCCCCACGATTTTCCCTCTCCCGCTTCTCCCTTCAGTATCTAACATGGAGGAGCCAGGACGTGGAGAACTGCGCTGTGCGGGGGAAGCTGACGGTGAGGAGGGGAGGGAGAATCTGAGGGAGGAGATCACCCTGCCTCCAGGCTCTGCCCTAGCAGTCTCGCACTGTGCCCAATTTCCTACCCACTCCCTCATCTCAGGACCCAGAGGAAAATGTGCAGGAAAGAGAATGAATGGTGTTTAGCTTCTTTCACTGCTTCACAAAAAAGAAAAGTGAGGCTCCAATGAAGGACTTGCCCAGGCCAAGGGCTAGTGAATAGCTTAGTTGGAACTTTACCCCACGTTGATCTGACTGTTCAAGGGGAGTGGACTTACTTCCTGTGACCCCCTGTCCCAGTCCCAGGGACCCTGTCACTGACATAGAGGCTTGTGCTCTCTAGGACGAGTGCTACAACTACATTCGTGTTCTCGTTCCCTCGGACTCGCAGACACTCCTTGCTTGTGGAACGAACTCATTCAGCCCCGTGTGCCGCAGTTATGGGGTACAAAGGCGAGAGTGCGGGGGTCAGGATGGGTATGGGAGGAAAACGCAAGTGGACAGTTTGTTGCGGACAGACCAGTGGGGGTGGGGGAATGGGAGAGCCCAGGGTTCAGGGGTCCAGTCCAGAAGGGGTGGGGGAAGGAAGCAAGGGGACATGAGGAAGTAGGCGATGGAGCCTGACTCTAAGACCCCAAGGGTTCCAAGAACCTGTTCCCTCTGTTTCCAGATAACTTCGCTGCAGCAGGAGGGTGAGGAGCTGAGTGGGCAGGCTCGATGCCCCTTTGATGCCACCCAGTCCAATGTAGCTGTCTTTGCAGGTGAGCACCTGGGCATGCGAGAAGCAGGCATGTGGCTGGAGGGAGCTCCCACCTTAGCCCCTCTCCCAATTTGGTCTTTCCCCCATGCTCCTGAATGGAGGGCTGGGGTAGAGGCAGAGTCAGACTGAGGTAGGGGTGTGGGAGGCCCAAGAACAGCCAGAATGCAGATCCTCTGACTCCACCCTACCCCTCCCTCCAGAGGGCAGCCTGTATTCAGCCACAGCTGCAGATTTCCAGGCCAGTGACGCTGTAGTTTACAGAAGCCTTGGCCCTCAGCCCCCACTCCGCTCAGCCAAGTACGACTCCAAGTGGCTCCGAGGTCAGGGCGGGCCTGGGGGAGGGAGGCTGCTCTTGGGGAGGAGGTGCATGGGGCGGACCGTGGCAGGGAGCAGGCAGTGTCCATGTATGCAGAGGGGAGAGGCTGCATGGGGCCAGGAGTTTCTGAGCAGGTACTGATACTCTTCCCTACCCTTTCCTGTCACTCCCCCCCAGAGCCACACTTTGTCCATGCCTTGGAGCATGGAGACCATGTCTACTTCTTCTTCCGAGAGGTCTCCGTGGAGGACACCCGGCTGGGGAGGGTAAGGAGGTGGTGGGCACCTGGGGTGGGTAGCTGAGGGTTCTGCTGGATCCTGTGAAGGCAGAGTCAGGGGACAGCTCCTGAGCCTGGTCTCCACAATGCAATCCCCTACTCTGGGCCCCCAAGTTGGAGTAATCCTAGCTCTCTGCCCCCATATCCTGCTGTGTCCCTCATCCTTAACCCAGAATGACCTTGTGCAGCATACCCTTCCTGCTCCATCCCTAACATGTGTGTCCTGGTGCTCTAACTCACTGCATTCCTCTCATCTCGCTGGCCCTGAGGTTGTCTCTCACTGTTCTCCCCTTGTCCCCGACTGTCCCCCTTCAGGTACAGTTCTCCCGTGTGGCCCGTGTGTGTAAGCGTGACATGGGCGGCTCACCGCGGGCCTTAGACCGTCATTGGACATCCTTCCTGAAGCTTCGGCTCAACTGCTCTGTCCCTGGGGATGCCGCCTTCTATTTTGACGTCTTACAGGCCTTGACTGGGCCTGTGAACTTGTATGGCCGCCCTGCTCTCTTTGGGGTCTTCAGCACCCAGACCAATAGGTTGGTACTAGACTAACCAATGTGGCCCAGTCTGTCCCCTGCCCTACCAGCATCCAAGCGCCTTTTTCAAAGTTTACTGATGGCGTCAGTGAGGGGATATTCCATTCAAAACCAGTTGCTGTTTTGCCCATCCTTTTTCTCCTAGCATGGCATCGAGGGCACCCCACCCTCTCAGGCTCTGCCCCCTAATATGGTGCATGAAGGGTAGCTGCCATGTCTTATCTGGGAGGAGCTGTGCTGTCTCTTCTAACACCTAGCCCGCATCCTTTTCTGGCTTCCTCAGCATCCCTGGCTCTGCAGTCTGTGCCTTCTACCTGGATGATATTGAACGTGGGTTTGAGGGCAAGTTCAAGGAGCAGAGGAGTTCGGATGGGGCCTGGACCCCCGTGTCTGAGGACAGGGTCCCCTCCCCCAGGTACCCAGGATGGGGTGGGTTTTTTGGGTCAGAATCAAGCAGTGTCTGCTCTTAAAATGGGGTGGTAAGGAAAGGGAAAGGTGTCCAGTGCCTGGGGAGGAGGCTGTGGTGTGTTGGCAGTGGGACTGGCAAGCTGCAACTGGGAAGGGAAGCAGTAGTGTGAGTGTGTGGAGGGGAAGCAAGGGCTACCCGTCATGTTTAGGAGCAGCGTGTGTGGGCAGCACAGAGCCTACGTCCCAGCTCCCTGCCCTAAGGCTGCCCCTTCCCATGTGCCCACCAGGCCAGGATCCTGTGCAGGAGTGGGTGTAGCTGCCTTATTCCCCTCTTCTCGAGATCTCCCTGATGATGTCCTGACTTTCATCAAGGCTCACCCACTGCTGGACCCCACTGTGCCACCTGCCACCCACCAGCCTCTCCTTACCCTCACCAGCAGGTATGGGGCTAAAAAAACACTGACCACTACCCTCCCATCTCAGCCACTCCCCTTCTCTGACCCCACCAGGTAAATCACAGTGGCGGGAGGAAGTACCCTTGAAAGTGGAAGGGAAGGGCAACGCTGGGTTGGGGAAGGACCCAGGAGTGGGGACCAGGACACATGGGCTGTCCTTGGAGCACCAAGCTTCCACTAGCGGGTTTCCCTGACCTAAGGCTTATTTCTCCAGGGCCCTGCTGACCCAGGTAGCTGTGGATGGCACGGCTGGTCCCTATCGTAACACCACAGTCCTGTTCCTTGGCTCCAATGATGGAACAGTGCTGAAGGTGCTGCCCCCAGGGGGACAATCTGGAGGCCGGGAGCCCATCCTGTTGGAAGAGATCAATGCCTACAGCCCCTCCCGGTGAGGACATGAGGCCTTTGGCGGGCAGGCGGGCGGCCTGCAGAACAGGAATGGGGTGTGAGGTGGTAGATGGGGATGTGGGAATGGGGTGGGAGCGCCAACATTGGCTTCTATAGGGCAGAAGCTACGGTGGAGAGAGGGGCTTGGTGAGAAGCCGGACAGTGCGGTGGGGCAGGGTGGGCACTCGGGGACATCAGCTCCATGAGCCATACTTAGTTGCTTGTGCCTCTCACCACGTTCAGGGGAAAAAGAACCTCACCAGGCCTGCCCCTCTTTGATTCCTTTGGCCTCACCCTAGGTGCAGTGGGAAGCGGGCGGCCCAAACAGCACGGCAGGTGATAGGACTGGAGCTGGACACTGAAGGTCACAGGCTCTTTGTGGCCTTTTCTGGCTGCATCATCTACCTCCCTCTCAGCCGGTGTGCCCGGCATGGAGCCTGTCGGAGGTGAGAGGGGCCTGAGGCCGGGCCCTGCCTGGGTGGGCTCCCTGGGCCGGCAGGAACTCTGGAATGCAGGCATTGGGGGGAAATACAGGGGGTGGTTGGTGGGGAGATGCCTCCAGCATTCTGCAGGGGCACAGGAACCAGGGTCTGGAATAGGGTTTGGGCCGGATAGGACGGGAATACTGGGCTAAAAGCCTTCTGTAGGCCAGGGTGAGAGTAGAAGAGGCAGGTGAATGGAATGTGATTAGAATGGAGAAGGTCCCAGCCTCACATGACTCAGTTTCCCGTAGGAGCTGTCTGGCTTCTCAGGACCCATACTGTGGATGGCATAGCTCCAGGGGCTGTGTGGATATCAGGGGACCTCGTGGGTAAGTGAGGGGCTCCCGGGGCTCCTAAGGAGAAAGTTCTCCACCATAAAGGAGGAAGCTGAGGGCCCGGGTGGGGGGTGGGGCAAGATGTACAACTGCACTGAGTCATGGCCATGTCCTCCTAGGACTGATGTGGATCCAGCTGGGAACCAGGAATCCATGGAGCACGGTGACTGCCAAGGTAAACGGAAGGGGAGGCTGCAGCTCCAGCCATAGCTGCACGTGGCTCTGAGGGCCACGGATACTGTGCAGGCACGGGTCTTGTTCCTTCTGCGAAAATCCCTGTTCACGAAGCCTTCCCCGGCCCCCATCTTTGCCCTCTGTCCCTTCACAGACGGAGCCACCGGGAGTCAGTCTGGCACAGGGAACTCTGCTTATGGTGAGTCTTGTCCCACCTTCACTTCCCTCGCTCATCCCACACTCACTCAAGTCTGTGCCCATGGCAGCAGCAGACCAGCACCCTGGACACCCGGAGAGAGTCATAGGACAGGGTTGGCATCTTCCAAATACCCAGCAGATAGCTCGGTGGTGGGCACGCGATAGGGTGCTTAATCGTTTGAACACGTAACTGAACGTCCTGCATGGTGAGCCCTTCCCCGCCGCCCAAGGAAACTAGAGACTGGAGTTCTGGGCCTTTGGGTTCCAACTGGGGGCGGCGGGAGAACTGCTCCGTGGGTGTCAGTGGAGCGCAGGAGCCTCACTGGCTCTGACCTGGTCTCTGTCACCAGTGCTTCTGGGTCCTGGCCCTTCCCCCGAGACCCCCAGCCCCCCCAGTGAAGCCCGCCCCCGGCCCCAGGCTTCCACCCTTGGAGCTCACACTCAGGGTAAGGGGGCCGGCTGGGAGGGACAGGAGTGCCGTGTGGGGCTGCCGGTTCTGGAAGAATCCCAAGCCCTTTAGCGTCCCGTGTCTGGTGCTCACTAACGCCTGTTCGGAGCCTCCCCGCCCCACAGGTGGGCATCGGCCCCGCCTCCTCCCGCTGGGGCAGCTTGGCGGTTGCTCTTGTCTTGGCTGCAGGGGCCGGAGCTGGGAGGGGGACTCCCCAGCCCGGGCGCCAGCTTGTGTCTGCGGGGGGTGACGGGCCGCGCTGGAGGGTCGGGGCGGGATCCCGAGGAGTGCGGGGTGGAGCCGGGCAGCGGCCGGGGAAACCTGCACCTTGCCGCCCAGCCCTCCTGCCGCTCAGCCTCCTCCTCCCTGTCGGTTGGCAGGCGTGCGCCGCGACCTCCCCGCAGCCTCGGCCGCCCGCTCGGTGCCCATCCCGCTGCTCCTGGCCTGTGTGGCCGCGGCCTTCGCCCTGGGCGCCCTGGTCTCCGGCCTGCTGGTCTCCTGCGCTTGTCGCCGCGCCCACCGACATCGGAGCAAGGACCTGGAGACGCCCGGGCTCCCGCGCCCCCTCTCCCTCCGCAGCCTGGCCCGGTTGCACGGGCCGGGCCCGGAGCCGCCGCCGCCCGCCAAGGACGGAGACCCCGCGCCGCCGCCCCAGCTCTACACCACCTTCCTGCCTCCGCCCGAGGCCGGGTCCCCGCCGGACCTCGCCTGCCTGCCCACCCCGGAGTCCACGCCCGAGCTGCCGGCCAAGCGCCTCCGCCCCGCGGGGGGCCCCTGGGAGTGGAACCAGAACGGGAACAACGCCACCGAGGCCCCCGGCCCCGCGCGCGGGAACGCGGCCGGCGGCTCGGCGCCCCGCGTGCTGGTGAGGCCGCCGCCGCGCGGCTGCCCGGGGCGGGCGGTGGAGGTGACGACCCTGGAGGAGCTGCTGCGCCACCTGCACGCCCCGCCGCCGGCCCCGCGGGCGCTGCCCCTGGAGCCCGCCCCGGCCCCCGCCCCGCCCCCGCCCGGCCGGCCGGCTCCCGCCTCCTGCCCCGCGAATGCGCGCCCCCCCTGCGGCTGGACGTGCCCCCGGACGGGCAGTGCCCGAGGCCCCCCGGCCGGCCGGCCCCCGCTCCCCGGCTCGGGGTGGGCGGCAGCCGGAGGCCGCCCTTCTCCTCCCACCGGGCGCCCCCCGCCCTGCTCACTCGCGTGCCCTCGGGGGGCCCCTCCCGGGACTCAGGGAGACACCTGTACCTGGGCCGCCCCGAGGGCTACCGGGGCCGCACCCTGAAGAGAGTGGACCTGCAGAAGCCCCGGTCGCCCCCGAAGCTGCCCCCGGTCGCGCCCCCCGCCCCGCTGGCCGTCCCCGGCGGCAGCCATTTTAACTTGTGAAGGAAGCCGCGAGCGGACCGGCCTCCCAGGATAGGCCCCTCCCCGCCCCACACCTGCGGCCTTCCCGGACCCGAGGCGCCGGGCCCTCCCGCCTCGGGCTTATTTATTGACTGTCTTCCCCGCTGTCCCCTCGAGAGCGGCGCGGGGGACGGAGCCTGCCCCTCAGCGAGCCAGCTTTCCTGGAGGGCCCGGCCCGCCCCGCTCCCCTCCCTCAGCCGAGCTGCCTTAACGCGCCCTCTGGGCTTCCTCCCTGGCCGGGCCCCGGGCGGGCCGCAGGCGGACGGGCGGACGGACGGGGCTGGGGCCACGCGCGTCGTGACTGATCCTCGGACCTCCTGGGAGGGCCTCCTACCGTGTAGGAGCCTTCGCTCCCCAATACAGCTGTTCCCCGAGTCGCCGCTTCATTCCCGCGCCGGGGTGTGGGGGGGGGGGAGAGGGCGGGGGTCGGGGGGCTCCCTCCCGGCGCCTTCGCCCCTGCATCTTCGGCCTCCCGAGTCATGGGGTGGCTGCAGTCCCACCGGGGTTCATCAGGAAAGGTTTCCTCAAGATTAGAAAAAAAAAAAAAAAAAAGTGTGGCGGTGGCTCCGGGCCCAGGAGACCCCAGGTGAAGTCCGGGTGGGGGGGCGAGCGCTTCTGGGCTGAGGTAAGAGGGACTTTTTCCTGGCTTGTCCCGTCGGGTGGGGGAGGTTATTTTTGGAGAAAGAAAATGAAGCCGCCCCATAAGTGATTTAACTTTCACTTCAGGAAATCTGGTCCTAAAGAGAATTCCAAGGGTCTAGTTTGCATGAGGGGGACGCTGCAAAAAAACCGCCAAGGATTCGGTCCTGCTGGAGCCCGGGGTCGGCCCCAGCTGTTCCCTAAGGAGCAGTTTCCCTTCGCGGAGCCGGAGGGGTGTCGAGCGCGGGGGTCGTCGTGCGCATGCGCGGCGTCTCGCCACGCCTGGGGCCGCACGCGATCATCATGCTGTTTCTCCGGCTGGGACTGGCTGTAGATACCTGTCAGTTACCCCCGGGGACCAATGGGAGGGACGAACGGGACCACCTGCTCCGCCCACTACCTCGCGCTGAGGACACTGAAGGCCTCGCGCTAGCTGTGGCTACTTTTGCGGATTTACAAATCGTGTTTTTCGCCCGCGCGTGGCCGGAGTTATCTGCCCGGTTGGAGCCCTAGGCCCCCCCGCGCTGGCGCCGCCTGGAGGCCGGATCAAGCCCTGCAGCTAAGGACGCCTCCGGTTCGCTGCCTTTAGGCGTTCATGCCTTCTCGGGGAAACCGCCAAGAACAACTTGGAGAACCCTGGGATTGTTTCTACTTTGTGACCTGACAAGTCAAAGCTCTGCCCTAAGTGGTTTTCCTCATGTAAAAAAAAAAAAAAATGGGGTTGTTTGAGAGGCTCAAGCACGACAATGTCTAAAAACTTTCTAAAGGAGAAAGCATGGTGGCTGTGACGTGGTTTCCTCCAAACTCAGGCGTAGGCTATTCCTCACTTGTGACCTCCCGCTGAGTAATGTTTCCCCTTGATGCTTACAACCTCCATCTACAGATTTTGCCCTCCAGGTTTGAAATGCCTTCTGGACACTGCGCACACCTCAGCGTGCCGGGCCACACTGCCCTCCAGTCTGCGCTGCTTGGAGCTCGTGGCGCCGCCTGGAGGTTGCAGAGGGCCTCTAGGTCTGTTTCCCCTCGTTAGGTGCCTTCCTGAAACCAAGATGCTTAAAACCACTGCTAGCTTCCCGGATGGTGGAGGAGAGCCAGGACGGGGCGGAGAATCCCCCCAGGCACCCGGCTTCATTATCCTCTTCAAACCAAGGTGTTCAGCCGGCTCAGGGGCCCCGTGGGTGAGCCTGGACCTACGAACCAGGAGGTCCCTGGTCAGGGCGGCTGCTGCTCCGCTGGGGGCGGGCAGGAGGCAGCCGGTCAATGATTCTCTCTCATCATTGATGTTTCTACCTCCCTCTCCCTCTCCCTTTCTCTCTGAGATAAATAAAAATATATTTTTTAAAAACCCAAGGTGTTAAAGCCAGATTAAAGAAAAAAAAAAATTTAAGGCTGCATGCACCCCTTTCACCCGCTTCTGAGGGACAGGGAAAGGGGTATAAGTGATCCTTAGTTTAAATACAGACCCAAAAGAGAAGCACAAGAGAGACTGAACCTGTGCCTGCAGGCAGCAGCAATTTACAGGTTGAAGTCCTGGTTTCGGTTTAGTTGTGAAGGGCGGTCGCGTATTATCTATAAAGCATGGACACTTCTCTGGGCGTGCAGGACCTTCTCAGAGCGAGTGAAAGCAACTATGTTGCAGTGAGAGCAACAGTCCTTGGGCTCCGCCAGTTAATATTTTTGTGTGTGACCTTGGTAATGCAACTGCCATATCTAAGCCTCAATTTCTTTTGTAAAGTATGGAAAGAACATATGGCAATGGGTTTGTAAAGCAGCATATACATATATGGGTTTAAATTAAGTGCTCTGTGGGAAATGGGTATTTGCCCCAAATAGACTACTACCAAGTATGCAATTCATTAAAACTCATGATATACCTCATCCTGACAGACAGTAGTGAATACTAAATTAAGGGGATGAATTCAAAGAAAGTAGTATCCCTGGCAATAGAGGGATAAACATGACCCCAAGTAAGGAATCGACTGACAGTCTTTTTAAAAAATTAGGATATCAGCTCAAACTTTGTCTTTAGAAAAACTAGAATGTGCCAAAAGCAGGATGAAGTTGTCATCCTGAGGGATTACTAAGCTGATTTCTCAGAGGTATCCTGGGAGGTTATGAAGAAACCAGGGCCCCAGTAGGCAGAGTTCATCAGCTTGTGGAAGGCTTTGGGGACCTGAACCACAGAAGGTTCCACAGTCACAAAGCTTGAAAAGCTGTTAAGCATCTTGGGTTCTTTGGGAGCTAAGCCACAGGGGTCCAAGCTATTATTGTCTCTCAGATTTATGTCCCCTTGATGCCACTACCCCACACTTGGGAACCACACAGGTATGAGTCACTCTCTGCTACTTAATTCGGCAGCTGACCCTTTAGTACTGTTGACTCATAAAAATGTAAGGTTACATGTATGAGAGAAAGGTTCAAGTACATGGATGAAACATATGGAGCCTATGAATCCAAAAGATCACCTACTTTTACCAGGTATATTAGGGTCCAAACAGGAAATAGATGGTATTCTCTGAATAATGAAGGGCTGTTTTTAATTTATTGGAGAGAGAGAAACATCGATGTGAGAAACACCGATGGGTTGCCTCATGTACGCACCCTGATCCCACAACCAGCACATGTGCCCTGATGGGGAATTGAACTCTCGACCTTCTGGTGTATAGGATGACGCTCCAACCAACTGAGCCATACCAGCCAGGGCATGAAGGGCTATTTTTAAAAACTGTGGACAAGGGATGGATGGGTCAGTAACTGGAGGCTAGTAACAGCCTTAGGCCTGAAAAGACAAAGAAGGGTAGTGGTTACTAGAAGCTGGAAGGAGAGATGGCCTGAGAAAAGCAGTGACCCCAGGGGAGTGGAGTCTTTCCCCTCCCAGTCTTCTGCCAGAGTTCTCTATTGGCTGAATCCATTATGAAGCCAAAGTGCAGGGAGCTCATTAATGAAATTCATGCAGGTTAGTCTCCAAGGATAGAGAATAAAATACAGGAGAGAGGAGAGGAATCTGGAAGGAATGAGAAGATATCCAGCATACCTAGAGATGAAGACCTCATTCATTCCCCAAAGAAAGGTTATCTTTGATTGTCCTTGCTCAAGTACTGCTGGCCAGCAACTTTATGGAGACGCCTCCTGAATTAGTTTTGGAGCAAAATTTACTTTGGGGAGTTTGAAGGAGAGGTTGCTTGGAGAATTTACATTTCCTCAGGTTCTAAACTGCAACTGGAGATGAATTAGGCTGCCCAAAGTCAAGTAAGACAGTACTCTGATTAAAGGACAAACGATAGAGGGAAGGACACTAATGACTGAGACAGCATATGTATCTATATACTGAAGATAATACATAACTCGCAAGATAGATATGTTTGTGTGTATGCAAAGTGCCTCACTCATTGTCAGACATGTAGCAAAATCTTAAAGCATGGAAGCTGTTATTTCTATTGGCCTCTTTTTAAATATATATATATATATATATTTGTAATTGATTTCTGAGAGGGAGAGGGAGAGATAGAAACATCAATGATGAGAGAGAATCATTGATTGGCTGCCTCCTGCAGGCCCCCTACTGGGCTCGAGACTGCAACCCAGGCATGTGCCCTGACCGGTAATGAACCATGACCTCCTGGTTCATACATCAACGTTCAACCACTGAGCCACTTTGGTCGGGCTACTGGCCTCTCTTTTAAACATCAATTTCCTTTACAATAAGACTTTCTTAAGCTTCAGGACTAGTAGTTAGAGTCTCTACTAACTTATTCTATAAGACGTCTTGCACAAATCTTACATAGGAATAGTTATCACTAGCAATCACTAGGTTACTCCCATTTCAACTTCTCTTGTGTTTTCTACCGATTGATCTTCTTGAAATAGAAGGCTCACTTTCACAGAGAGAAAACTCTTAAGAAGTTGCCCTAGTTCATGTTTCCCCCCATTATTTAAGAATATGGCCCTTCTTACAACTCTAGGTTCCTATTCAATTCCCTTTAACTCTCCCATATTTTTTTTTTTTAAAATATATTTTATTGATTTTTTACAGAGAGGAAGGGAGAGAGATAGAGAGTTAGAAACATTGATGAGAGAGAAACATTGATCAGCTGCCTCCTGCACATCTCCCACTGGGGATATGCCCGCAACCCAGGTACATGCCCTTGACCGGAATCGAACCTGGGACCTTTCAGTCTGCAGGCCGACGCTCTATCCACTGAGCCAAACCGGTTCCGGCCTCTCACTAGGATTTTAATTCAACAAGACTGTTTTTTGTTTCTCAAGGCTCAAGTCCCTGCTCTTTTCCTCTCAGCAAAGACTGCATGTACATTTATGGGGTGCCTGCCAGACCAGACATACCTTATAAATAATATGTACACTGTATTTGTTGCCTATATGTTATTTACCAAAAAGCAATTATCTATACACAGCCTAATCCATGGTAGGTGTTCAGTTCTCTAAATATTAACGTTGAAAGCTTGCCTAGAGATTCTAATTGTTGAACACAGATGCTTATAAATCCTTGACTTTGGTATTACCCTCCTGTGTTTAAGAAAGGCAACCTCATTGCCAATGGAGCAGCTTTTGCAAACATTAGTGTACACTAGATAGGGACACTCATTTTGCCAGCCAGATGGGTCTATTCAGCCCTGGCTATCAATGGGATTTGTGCCACAACCAGACTGCTGCTTGTATTTATTTAATAAATGTATGCTGAATTGGACCGAGATAGCAACAAGCACCTTATTAACTAAGAATAGCTGAGAA